GTCCTGCTGGGGGGGGAATAGAGCAATGATCTCTGCCTTCCATTTGTCCTTAAATTACCTATGAAACACACGGTCAGCTATCGTAAATTTTTAAGAGCGCCTTCAAACTACTAACGGTCATAGAAGGCAAGTGCAACAAACTCGTTTGCCAATCCAAGTGGTGTATATATTTTGACTAGTCAAATATCTACATTGTATTGATCGATTAATTATTTCCTGAAAATGCGCAAATCGGAGAATTGTCTAGCCACTCGCCGTGGCTACATGGTCCTCTGCTCATAACTTCTTAGTACTACGAACAATTTCATGTTCGGCATTTAGGTTTCCATGTAAAACGCTCTAACGGTTCATCCGTGTTAATGATTCTGCTTGTATGTGCTGACACATGCCAATTAGATTACCCAGCATACTGCTCGTCTTTTGCACTTTTTACGATGCTTGGGGCGTGACATCAAGGCTCTGGTGGAGGTTTGGTTCTACGCTGAGTTCCCTTACTGGAAAATGTTTCGAATTTGTCACACTACGAGCAGCAGGTGGGAGAGGCACGTGGCAAGCCTAGCATTAGTCAGGTGGGTGGGTTTGCACATTGACCGACATACGATTGTATGTATCGATAACACACCAAAGAAGGACTATTACGAAACATGTATAAAATGTTTTTAACAGAGTCTATGGGAGTCATAATACCCCTTTTTGATTTCTTTGTGTTGGTTAACCAATTCGCAGTCAGTGCAATAGTCATTAAATTACTCGACAACTCGAAAAAAGTAAAAGTCGACCGTTTCTCGTTCAAAACTGATGATGCTGTAGATTAGGCCAGGAAATGTCAACAGCCTGATGCAAACGTGTCTCTTCTTTTCAGCCATAAACAATTTCAGTACTTAGTGCAGCAGTAAATATGGCATTTTTGGGTACAGAAAGAAAATTCAATCTCTGGAACATTGGATACAATACTAGTGATGGTTTTGATGTGTTGCGCAATTCTAAAAAGGTTGTATAGTCAAGATTCATTCACTTTCATATTGGTCAGATAATCCTATCTATCCAACATGTGTAAGAACTCCCCGCATTTGCAATTCTGTCATCTCAACACGCGCAGTTTGTGAACAGAAGTTAGAGCGCCAAAAACAACCGTTTGTCTGAGTTTCCAGGGTCATGTAGGGCATTCCTCGTCAAGGCAAGAAGTCGCCTATTTGCAAGTGCTGATGTATGCCAGCGTTAAATGTTTGCTGGTCGATGCACTGAGTTGTCAATCCCCTTTTACGTAAATTTGTTTCGAAGAAAATACGTATCTCTATGGGGGACCGTGTCGAAAATCAAGCAACGGAAAATCCAGGGAGTAAGGCATATTTTGAGGCTAGGTGACGAACAATAAATAAACACGCAGTGCTGTCTGGGGAGAAACAATGGATGAAACTTCAAAATTAGATTATTTACTCGCAAGCACGTAAGGAACGCTGATTACACATCGCCGAGCTAAACGCCCCGTAGACTTGTCTGAACATGGCGGAACGTAGGCGAACGAGGGGTCTGCACTTAAAGATATTACCTGCGTTTTCTGGTTTCTGAATCAGAAAATGTGTATGTGCAAATGACTACCTGTTAACAGATTGTGAATAGTAGGCGGTCACCTGCTGAAGCTGACAGATTCCGACGGAAATATTTAATAACAACTTTTAGCCAGAATCTATAAAGCTTCCTTACGAAGAAGTTATTAGAATCCATAGCAGTCACTTCTGAGGAGATAAAAGGCTAAAATTTAAAACAAATTGAATATTTAACAGAAATTACAAACAGGAAAGCTGATGGAGGGATCCACTGACGTGCCCAACTCCTCGCACCTGTGTGTGCATACGGCAGAATACTAACTAGCGCCTCTGCTTTCAACACACAGTGAATCCTAGAAAATGTGAATACTTACTTCATACATCCACCAGGAGGAGCGTAGGCGTAAGCTTTCATCTCAGGATACCGTGGCTTCACGAGCACCGAAAGGAGGGAGGTTAAACCGGCGCCCAGGCTGTGTCCCACGATGACAAACGGGTAGTCAGGAAATCGTCGTCTGGCTTCCTCAACCCACTGCTCGGCAATCATACGTTCAGCGATTTTACGCGCTACTCTCGTCATCCCAGCATGCCCGATAAAGCGTTCGCCTTCGGGCAGCGTTTTGTCCTCCTCTCGCAGCGGTTCTCCCATGCCCAGGAGGTCCACTAGCTTGTCGTTGCCCGATGCTGTGCCGCGAATAATCAGCACAAGGGCCTGCGTCTGATGGTCCACAACTAGCATCAGAGTAGCCTCGTAAAACTACAAGCAGAAGACCAGGAGGTAAGTATTTCGAACGATGAAAGGCACAAGAAACTACTTCCCATTGCACAAATTACTCTCAATTGAAAAAAAAGTGTAAAAGCTTAAGATATGCACTTAAAAGAGTGAGAGTGAGAAAGTTTAATTGCTAAACTTGAGGGTGTTTATTTAGGGATCACTTTGGACAATGCACTTGAAACGCGGCAACAACCAACGCCCCCTTTCAAACCATACCTATGTCGACGGTGACAATCGGGAAGGGCAAATCACCCGGCTTTCGTAGATTATAGTGAACATAGAAGATTTTAGCGGCAGGCGGCCACAGCAATTAGGGTTGGCATTAGTTAAAGGCCAGCCATTTGTACTGTTGACCTATATGGAGCACGTTTTCGTGATGGGCCCTAGTGACTGGTAAATACCGTTTTTTGATAAGCGAATAAAAATTATGGGAAAGCTAAAGTAGGTCTTCATGGGTGTAAATTCGTATTTGATATTTCTATATTTTGTTCTCAATAAACTCATATTTTTGAGTTCAGCGATCATACCCATGCAAGCCTTCAGTAAGTCAAGTTAGGCAAGCGAACATTTTAGATTAATTCATCATCAGGCAGATACAAAAATATAAGGAAGGGTGGAGTTAACAAAAATTTAAATAGTTTAAATGGAGGCCGCAGATGTCGTTCTTGGGTAGCGGTTTCACCGATTCTTAACCACAGATAAGACAGGGAACTTCATTTGCATCATCATCATCATCATCATCATCATCATCATCATCATCATCATCA